TTTTTGTAGTGTTGCGTTTGTTTTAAATGTGGTAAATTATATATTTGTTTTTTGTTGACTTTGTACCGCGCTTCGAGCCTTTGGGGATGAAGCGTGTTTTTGAAATGAACTTTATTATTATTATTATATGGAGTTAATGTTCTCTTTTTTTGTGATGAAATTGGATAGTTTGAGTCAACACACTTTAGTGTCTATAAAGTCTCTTCAATGAGGGTTTCATATTTTGACACATAAATTGGAAGCTTGACTGAGAAGTTGCAGAACTGGACACCTAAGATAGGTGATAAAGCCGAAATCTCATCAGATGATTGATATTTTCTTAATATTTTCGCCTTGAATACTTGATATCAATATTTCCAGGATAGTGAAGCAGTGATGATTTGTTCAATCATTATCATGATAGCTGTCCTGACCATCAGTCTTTAAAGGAACTGTTGGGCATGATTTTATTGAGCCTTGATCCTGAATAGTTTAACAAAATAAAATATATTATCATATCATTAATATTATGTTTAAATTTACAGTAAGGCATACATCATATAGACGATATTTTAACCGTACTAAACTACAGTAATATAGATTTAGAAGAGATACTAAGATATGCATATGAAACGACATAGTAAAGGATTTTCGTCAAGGGAATGCATCATTGCCCCCCCCCCCCCTACAGGCCACACGCACACTTTTTTGGGTATCCAAAGGACGACCACCGACCCCAAAACACACAAAAACAAACCTTACATATACAACAGTGCTTATGAATAATAGTATATTAACGCAAAGTATAACCAGAGCACGGAAGTGCATAAAATAAGAACTATTTAATTATAAATACTATATTATATATACAGTTACAGGCCACACGCACACTTTTTTGGGTATCCAAAGGACGACCACCCCCCCCCCAACCACACAAAAACAAACCTTGCCTATACCACTGTGCTTATGAATAATAGTATATTACCGCAAAGTATAACCAGAGCACGGAAGTGCATAAAATAAGAACTATTTAATTATAAATACTATATTATATATACAGTTAAGTTAGCAATGAATCGATGTATCAAGTCCAATCAACCATTCAACTAGTAGGCCTACTAGTTTTAGTAACTTTTAAATGAATGTCAGCCGTAAACTAGCTAACTAATCTAAGCAAAAATAACATCACAAAATAACTTAATCCTATGAGCCTATTTAAAATGAGAAGGCCTACTCCATAATTAAATGTTCAGTGAACTTAAAGTCTTTAACAAAAAGTTAAAGGCTGCCTAGTGCTAATACAAATATACACGTCGCCCATAGACAGTAAAACCGTTAAAAATCAACTTATGAAGACTATGACATAACAAATAAGGCTAAGCTTAGTCATTTTAGACAGCGCTTGGATGAGTAGTTTTCTATTTATAATGGTTACCTCACAATTGAAAACTAGATTCAAATAATTATTCACTGTATTTTACACTTTACTTACCCAAACAATCAAACATGTCTTGATCGGCGATGCGAACAGAAAATAAATATTTCTGGTCTATTGAAGGTGTATGGTAATAGAAACTTGAAGAGCTCAACGCGCATGCGCAGACATGGGAAGCCACTAGAAATGACCTTTTAATAACAGAAAGGCTAAAAATAGACGAGGTCGGCGATTAACGTCAATTTTCATGGCATCCAAAGCAAAATTTATTATTTTTTTTTTTACAAATTAAAAAATTCCAGACTATGTGGAAAATTTCCTTACTAGAAGGCAAATTTTCCCGGTTTTCACGAACGGGAAATTTATTAGATAAATTCCCGACTATTTCACGTTTTCCCGACTGTGTGAGGACCTTGAAAAAAATGATTTGATGGTAACTCACCGCTTTCCAAGTAACAGCACTCACAAATTCTGTAGAGTCATCATCTTTTCCGGGCTTTTCCTTAAAAAAAAAAAAAAATTAAACTGGTTATTAGTTTTGTCACCTGCTTGTTGATCTCCGCTTGGTATCTCTAAGTTAACACATAAGGAGTAAATGATGAAGATAGCTACAGTGTAAATTAAAATTTTTACTTTTAAAATAATTTGTTCTTTGAAGGTCAAGCCAAAAAGAAACTATTGTAATAAATTAATTAATTTCTATTAGTCAATTTATCAATGAGTTTTGGAAGGGAATTTATTATAACTGATTTAATGGTCCCACTTACGATTAATCTCCTTGCTGGCTCAAATTTGTAAGTCAAAATCTGACGTGAAAGTCCCTTGTAATAAAGATACAGTGAGTTGTTCTCACTTCCTGTTCATGTTTGGAAGATAGAAACATTAAATTGGGTCATTGCTGGGTTCAAACTGCTAGTTGAGTTTTACTTTCTCAAAAGATCAACCAAATAAAATGTATCAGACAGAGACTGTGTTTATTGGTTCATTGATAGTTTGGAACATTTAGAAAAAACGAGAAGGTTGCTTACACTAGATAGTGGCTTCAATTTTAACTAAAACTATCAATATTATTAAAAAAACATGATGCTGAGAAAGAATTATAAATAGTTTAAAATATTTGACTTAATAAATATAGAAAATAACACAGCTGGTGTTGAAAATGAAGATTTATCTGAAGAAACAAAGGAGACCGTGAAGAAGATCAAAGAGACTGACCACAAGCAATGTAGTCCCCATCAGTGGCAAGTCCAACAAAGTTCTTTTCATTGATGTGTCCTTTAAATGTAGAAATGGCGTTGTGCCGCCCCAGACTCCACAACTTCAGCTGGCTGTCAGTTGACCTGCATGGGAAATAAGTACAAGGTAAGGTAACTGAGTTGACCTACATGGGAGATAAGTAAAAAGGTAACTCAGTTGACATGAATGGGATAAATACAAAGTTAGGTAACTCATTTGACAGGAATGGGATCAGTACAAGGTAAGGTAACTCAGTTGACTTGCATAGGAGATTAGTACAAGGTAAGGTAACTCAGCTGACTTGCATGGGACTTAAGTAAAAATGTAACTCAGTTGACATGAATGGGATGAGTACAAAGTTAGGTAACTCAGTTGACCTACATGGGAGATAAGTAAAAGGTGAGATAACTCATCACAAGCAATTGCAGAATGTCTGAAAAGTTAACAAAAGTGATTGACGTGGTATGGAGAAAATGAGATAGGGTGACAGAAAAACATGGAGTGAGATCCTTGATGGGCACAGGGGGATCTACTGCAGGATGATGATGACTTTAAGTGAATTTCATAAGCATGCATTAAGGGAAGTATTTTTTTAAATCCCGGAAGTAAAAATATAAATTTCTGAAAGTGCTATTCTTTCTTTCAATTCACAACATTCAGAAATAAACGTAACCAATTTTTAGATTTTTATTCCCTTACGCTGAAACCATATCTGTTCCATTGAGAAATTTCACATATGACACGGCTTTGCCATGTCCTCTGAACACATACACAGCTTTCTTAGGATGCCTCAAGTCATAATAGTGGACACAGTGATCTGTTGGTCAAACATAACATGCTGGGCTATTTAGAATATCAATCAGTTTGAATTTTTAAGGCTGTCTACCTTAAAATAAAAGGGAAAACTTTTGACACATTGTTTGTTATTATCATACTTTCTAAACTAACTGTTTTCATCCTAGCTGCACGTTCAAACTTGTTGCAACAATGTGCACAAATATTACAATGACTATTGAATTTGCCTTTACAACTTTACAACAACAACAAAAGTATCCAGCAGTGACTATTGTTTAAAAAAACCCAACAATCAACAACTGAATGGACCAACCCGCAGATCCAAAAGCCAAGTTGTAACGCGTCGTAGGATTGAACTTAACACAACACACATTGGCCCCGCCTTCAATGGTCATCACAGACTGCGGCCGGTCCCAGTCCCAGAGTTTCACTGAAAGTTGAATGATTAGATTGATAAAATTATGGTAGTTAGCTTTAGTTTTCACTTCATAAAATAGAGATGTGCGAACTCACACAACATTAAAGATTTAAAAAAAAAAAAATTTATGTTTATCCTTTAATCACTAACACATAGATCAATTTGAATGTTTCCAAGAACTCACCAAACAGAATATATTTGTTTGAAAGATATATACTGTGATGTGGCCAACATTCCTTTTCAGTGGCTGTCATCATTATTTTTCTGATAATCAAAACTCCCCAGCACAGTATTTAGTGAGTGAGGCAGTAGCCCAGGACAAATTATTAGTTTTGGAATAAACCATTTTGGTCTGGCTTTTGTCAGGTCAAACTCAGCACTGCCGGCTAAAAAACAATTCAAGAAATGTTTGCTACATTTAAGTCCCACTGTTTAAGTGTAATTTTAAAATCAATTGAATAGGACTTGCCTTTGGTATCATCTGACCCAGAGGCCAGCATTTTTGGATCCATGCGATTAAAGTCAACACTCCAGCAGCGCTTTTCATGCTCCTTGAAAACCATGAAGAAAAAATCATTATAAAAATCTTATCTGAGACAAGAAACAACATACTAGACATAGAGAGAAATAACATATTTGATGTAGCATGAACCACCAAAAATTTCCTCATGAAATACATTTCTGCTGTCAATTTAAATTGAACTCATTTAAAATTGAACTGCCTTCATAAAATGAACTACTGTGTTCAAACCATGCCCAGTGTTTAAACTCAACTACTGTGTTCAACCCATGCCCAGTGTTTAAACTGAACTGTGTTAAAATTTAACTGCCTTCATAAACTGAACTACTGTGTTCAACCCATGCCCAGTGTTTAAACTGAACTACTGTGTTCAGCCCATGCCCAGTGTTTAAAACAGAACTGTGTTAAAATTTAACTGCCTTCGTAAACTGAACTACTGTGTTCAACCCATGCCCAGTGTTTAAAACAGAACTGTGTTAAAATTTAACTGCATTGCATTCTCCCGAGACCAGCAAACGGATGTAGACACCTGAAACATTTGTGTCCTTTGGTTGGTGCTGGTGTCCCACATGTAAACAATGCCGTCATAGTCAGCGCTGCTCAACATGTTCTTCTTGTACGGGTTCCAGGCTATACAGCTGAGAGAGAGAGAGAGAGATATCAAATCATCAAGCAGCTAGGGATGGTGCCGTTGTATGAAACAAGGCGATCCGACCACAAACAAAACATTATTTTACTATTCCCAATGCCTCATAACTGTTTGAGCAGGGTTCAAGATCTATGAGAGTGAAGATTTATGCTGAGCTCCTTACCTTATCTTTGATGTACAGCTCATCTCAGTGACCGGGTAGTACACTGAGCTCCTTACCTTATCTTTGATGTACAGCTCATCTCAGTGACAGGGTACTCCACTGAGGTCCTTACCTCATCTTTGACGTACAGCTCATCTCAGTGACAGGGTAGTACACCGAGTTCCTTACCTTATCTTTGACGTACAGCTCATCTCAGTGACCGGGTAGTGCAGGTCGACCACTGCATCCCTTACGATGCCGTACTCAAACACCTTGATTTTCTTGGTCACGCCGGCAATAGCAAAAAACTCACAATCCCTGTCGAATTCAATGCTGAAACATGCAAACAGAAAAAGATTAAAAGAATGAAGCTTTGCACAAACAGGTTGTGCTTTTAACAATAAGAAGTTTTAATATCACTAAACATCACTGAAAAAGGGCCATCAGTTGAAAAATGAAAGCTGTAAATATAAATAAGAATTAAATGTTAATTAGGGCGGGCCGCTCTTCGTGCAATGGGAAATATTCACAAAGTGCCCTTAATCCCTTGCCCCCAGCCTCAGAAAACAGGCAAAACTTCTGTTAGATGCTATATCCAAAACAAGAAGTCATTTACCACACGGACTTCTTGTTTTCAATACAACACAAAAGAATGAAGCTTAACTATACTTAGAGCGCCCACTAAATAAATCAATCTAATGGGACATCGAAAAGCCTGGTCTCTGTTGCATACATCCAGGGTCCCTTATTTGAAAAAAACTATTCATTGATAAACGTGATAAAAACATTAGTAGTATCTGAATAAACCACTGGAAGCAGTGACTTCACCCTTACCTGGACACTATGGAGGAACTGTTAGTGAAGACCTCATGGGTGTAGTTCAGGCTGGCCACCGCCCTGATGGATGTGTACTGTGAGAACTTGGACAGACATGTGGCAAACTGGTCCAGGTTTCCGTCACTCTCCCCACCTGTGCCCAGATCAAGTTTGGCATTGATCACTTTAAACTAGAGCCAATTTCATTATTTCATAAAAAAACCACAATCCTCTTCAATCAGAAAAAAACATTAAATAACAGCAAATTCAGTGGGTATATACGGCTGAAAATAAATTAATTGTACTTTATAAAAGATATAAAAATAAAATAATTGTACTGTATTGAATATATACAAGTTATTTTAAGTAACTAAGGAATTTTAAAAAGACAATTCACACTTGAGCACATCTGGGGGCCTACATTGATAAGCAGATCACATTGTTCTATAGGGCCCTATTTGCTTTCAATGGTTGCAATTTTCAGGGGGGAATTACCTAAACCAAGACCCCCTCTTGTGTCCAAGTAAACTTTTTCCAGATCTTCAAAATGCTGGCTGACTTTTCTCTTCTTCCTTGCCTCAGTTACTTCATTTGTTGGGCGTGCCTGTGGTTTTAATAGGATACACGGGTCTTCATATAAAAATCAGAATTACGTACCGGTACATATATATATATACACATACATAAATACATACATACATGTAAATACACAATTTTCTCCATAAAACACATATTCTTGTTCATCTGTGATTTAAGGGGTGTATTGCAAACCATACAAGTCATCAATGAAATAGTCATATCCATTTAAAACTGATTTAAGAGGTGTGTACTGCAAACCCTACAAGTCATCAATGAAATAGTCATACCCATTTAAAACTGATTTAAGACAAAATATAAATAGTTAAATTAATAAAAGAGACACCAATAGAAATATCTACCGCTGGTCCTCCAGCAAAGGACTCTGTGATGTGTGCTGCCAGTGCACCACTGCTGACACCCCCTCTGTCCGAGCTGGTTGTCTCTGCAGCGCTGTTGTTGGTGCTGCTACCAGCAGCAGAGAGAACTGATGAGGAACTGTTGGGCACCAAATGATCCTGTTGATAAGTGCAACAAATTACATTTTAATGCCAAGAAAATAAAACTCTATAATTTAATGGAACAATTATTTCCTAAATCAGTGAGGAGCATATTGAATGCATTTTTTGATGGCAATACAGTGTACTTTTCATACGAACATTGAATTGTTCTGTTGACATATTCTCTCATTGCTTACATTTAATGAATTTAAAATATATATATATTTCTTCCACCTTCGCCAATTTCTTCACTTTTCTTGTATTCTGATATCATCTTCTATCTACTCCTACCTACTGAGATGATCACATGAAAGAGACATGCCAAAGCACAAGTAGGCCTACTGTAAATATATTTATAAATATTTTGTAAAAGATCCACTTACAGGGCTTCCCAGTTGTTTTTGTTCAAAGTCTCGCAAAGTTTCCTATCAAACAGAAAGCAATGGCTCTCAAAACATATGTCAATGTCACGACAAAACTAAATTTATTGTATTCAACTTTGTTTTTGAAGAGTATTTTAAACATGAAGGAAAATAAGGAATTGGCAATTATGCATGAATATGTCTGAGGATACTTTGCCCACCATGTAGTAACTATTACCGTACTTTAAAATGGTTTTCAGCCTAAAATAGATTTTTCTACTCTATTTATTATTATTTTAAAAAAAAAATTGTTATAGCTAAAAAGGTGAAAAATTTCCTTACCCCAACTGATTGGCAATCTTGATTGAGAAACTCCAGCTGTCTCTTGATCTTCTCCAACTCCTACAAAGTTCACACCAGTAGATATTATGTTATTCAGAAGATTTAGTTATAGCCATCAAAACGCTTAAATTACTATAAGTTAAAGTAGTTCTCCAAACAAGACTTCCATTTTGCGACAACATTATTCTTGAAATAAAAAGGCTTCAGTAATTACTTTATAACATTTGCAAGACAAACACATGACCCTGCACTACAGACTCAAGGCCTCATACCTTTTCCTTGCGGTCACGCACTTCTTCCAGAAATGTCTTGAGCATTCTGGTCTCCGATATCTTCAGCCCCTGCTCCAGCTGCTGCTTCCTCAGCACCAAGAGGGACATGACATTATTAATCTCTCCTAGGTCCCAGTCCTGGGAGAGACATTGCCATTCTTGTATACTCAGCTGCTTGGCCAAAACACTTTTCTGTTCATCAGATTTATGTTTCCTGATCAGCTCCATTACTGAAATATTATTTATCGGTGTGACAGAGGGATAGGAAAATTACTAAGCATAACCAACTTTGCAGAAAATCCTACTTTCTAGTCTGGAATGCTACTTTCCATTTTGGCAATTCTACTTCCTAGTCTGGAAAGCTACTTTCTATTTTGGCAATCCTACTTTCTATTTTGGCAATTCTACTTTCTAGTCTGGAAAGCTATTTTAGCGTGATCAGCTTCCATAAAACTTTTTGTTAAATTGGGCATGTGTTTGACAGGGTGCCTTAGCGTTACATAAAAACGAGTCTCAAAGACTGCTTGATATCAATAACAAATTATCAACCCAGTGAAATGATCACCAATCTCCTTAATGAGAAGTATTAATCAATTTAAATATTAAACTACTTTGTCTTACATACTGTTGTATATCAATCTGTAAGTTTAAATTTTAAAGTACAGCCAAATAAAAATTTAAAACTCAACTAAAAGTTAACAACTAAAAAAATGCCTCTTTTAAAATAAACTTACATGTAAAGTTGGGAAATATATGGCTGGGGCTCTCTATGGGAACTCCACATTTGGGACATCGGTTATTTCTTTCCAAACTTCTCTCAATGCATTCATGGCTGAAACAGAAAGATTTGTTATTTAAACTAAAAGACATGTGATCCATCTAAAATTAAGCGTGAAGTAGCGTGAGCAGGAAGCAACTATGTATGAATATGTCTGAGGATATTTTGTCCATAAATGCAGTAGCTCTTTCTTTAAAATGGTTTTCCCTATGAATATGTCGGAGGATATATTGTTTTATATATATACACTTTACAACACAGCCATGACAAGACATAATATTTATTTTTAAATATTTAATTAAAAATCACTACTAAACAGCCGGGATTCTTAACCTCTTTTGTGCAGTAGATATTTTTCTCAGTCTGATAATGTTGTAATCTTTTAGTAAGTTCATAAAGATTGATTGGTTTTTAAAGCAACACAAATTATAATACTAAATGAACATTTCTAACACAAATTTTCAATCAATATTTTTCAAATAAAAAAATAACATTGCTAACTCACTAGCTGTCCTAAATCTAAGACTTACCAAAAGGAGTGTCCACATTTAGTCATGTAAGCTTCATCAATAAGATCAAAACACACAGGACTGAAACAAGATTGAAGATAGGTGATATGAAAATTTTTACTGTCAATTTCAATCTTCATTGCATTGCTTCTTTAACACAGTTTACCACTACAGTTTATTTTAGTGATGTGACCATCAGCCTTCTCAATTTCCTCAACTTAACAATGACATCATGCATCCAATAAAACTTGATAAACTTTGAGAAGATTTACAAAGCTAAAACTGAAACATGCTAATATTTTAAGATTTAGCCTACCAAATGAAATCACTGTTGATATTTTTATATGATCCCTCCTGTCCTCCATAAACTGGTGTGGCTGGTCTCTTTCTGGCCCTTTTGGGTGGCTGCTGTTGGGGTGCTCGTGACATCATACTCCCATTGATTTCCAAACACAATTATCTGCAAGCGTGTATGCATGGTAGGTAAATACTAAAGTTAATAGTTGGATTTTATGACATGCCCCCTGTAACTGTAATGGTCCCTTTCAAAATTATCTGGGACCCTTAAAAAAATATTCTGCGCACTTTAAACAAATATTCTGCATGTAGCATATTATTTAAAAAAACGAAGTGTCTACACGTCCGGCGCGCCGGACATGTAGTGCGCAAGATATACGTCCGGCGGCTTGTCACGTGACCGCCGGACATGGCCGGACGGCTAGTAGTTTTTATAATTCCAAACGAAGTACTGTATAGTACATCTTGTCTGGTCTTGTGGTAGAGAGGTTGCTTGACGATAGGAAGGTTTGAGGATCTATACCGGGGATAGGGTCATTTTTTTTCTTCCCATTTTAATTAAAATATTTTGTATATATTTATATTATCATGTTCCTCAGCAACAGTAGTTTCATGAGAAGTTTTTAAATATTTTGTAGCAATTGAAATAATTTAAAATGAAATCTTTTACTTTAACTTTTATTGGTTGCCTACGCCTACTCCACACTGGCCCCTAATTTATTTTATGGATTACTGGTACACAAACTCAAAAAAATGTTTACAAGCCACTTTCATTTAAGTTTTTTTTTCTATTATTTGCATTCAAGATACTCAGTACATTACTTGGTAGAGAAATAGATTTTAAAATTAACAATAGTTTTGAATTATTCGCAGTCACGTGACAAGGCTGACTGACAAGATATCTCTCGCCACTTTGTTACGGCGGTCATGTGACTTGGTCGCCAGACACATAGTGCGGGAGATAGACACTGCCTAAAAAAAAAGTTTAACTGTATATAATTTTTCCCATTTTAGTAAGTAATATTTATGAAAAAATCAATGAGTCAATGTGTACTTAGTTGGTTGAAAACTTTTCTTAAAATTAAAAGAGATTAGCTAGAGAAAAATTTAATGAAACAAACAGTCAAACAGTGTCAATACAAGTACAGCTTAACTTATGTTAGTGCTTTAGTCTTTAGTGACTTCAGACTAGTGCACTCCCATTTCACATGTTAATTTTGGCATGTCATGTTAATTGTTTTGCCTTATTTAGAATTGTTTTTCTTTTATGCTTAATAAGATTTGACTCACAAAAGACTGGAGTTCAAACTAATCTATCAAACTCACTCACTGACACTACTCACTACACTACACTGACCCGATCTATCTTGGTGCTGTTACGTTACAGTATACTTTACAGTGAGTAAAGTCAGTTATGGAGTTGTGTATTGTCACAGTATCATTAGTTTAAGTTAGTATTGAGTATTGTTAATTGTTACAATCAGACCCAATCCCGGAATTCAGGGGCCGTAGTTCATTTTTTCGGCATAATTTAACTTAAATTATGAATCTAAATTGCAATAGCTTTCTATACTATAGGCATAAGTTATATGTTATTTAAGAAACGTTGCTTTTCGCACAAGATTCCGCAATATTTAGTTTGAGAGGCTACTATGATACTATAATGAATAATGTCTATAATTCACCTATCAATTGAGATGTTCTGAGCAAGTTTTGCTGTTGTTTGAAACGAAGCGGAAGTTCATAATTTATAGATACCTATTTTATTACTTCCGGTATAAAAGAGAAAGCGAAAGAAGGCCTAATTTAATACCCCCAACGTAAACAATTAAAATTAAAACGTTTGAACTGTGAACTGTGATGTCTAATGCCATGAACTATGGTTGACTTGAAAATGCAAAGAAAGACTGAAACAGGAACTCAAGTATACCGTATTATAACAAATTCTTATTATGTTCTATTGCACCTTCTAAGAACTTAAGTTATAGTTATATGCTTAGTCTAAGTCTAGTACTAGTAGTTAGTATTGGTAGCACTATTCAAAGAACTTAACTTTTTAAGTCTTAGGCTAAAACTTTACTTACTCTCAGGCTTAGGACTTAGGCTAAACTTCAATACTTAAACTACATGATTACTGCCATTAAGAAATAGAAGACACATTAAGTATGATTAAGTTATGACTTTTAATAAAAAATTACTTAATAATAATAAATAACTTGAGTCCAGTCAGCTCAAGAGTTATACGACAAATGACTTTAAAAGTAAATGACATACGAACATAACACACTAATCTCTTAGATTTAATATTAATAATTAATATAAACAATATAATATATTAAAAAAATGTAGGAGGAAGAATTATTGATGAAGTTATCTAGCTCATCTTAAGTTTCCTGTCAAATCAGATTATTCAGATACCCGTAACATAATTCCAGTAGTTTGTCTGGAACTATGCTAAGAAGGACAACTTTTAAAGCAGTGTTTCATTTTTAGAATTTACATTATTTTTTATAGTTTTTGCAGAATTATGAGTTTTAGTTAGTTGAAATCTAAAATGTTCAATTTATGAAACGAAGTGTCTACACGCCGGACGTGTAGTGCGCAAGATATACGTCCGGCGGCTTGTCACGTGACCGCCGGACATGGCCGGACGGCTAGTAGTTTTTATAATTCCAAACGAAGTACTGTATAGTACATCTTGTCTGGTCTTGTGGTAGAGAGGTTGCTTGACGATAGGAAGGTTTGAGGATCTATACCGGGGATAGGGTCGTTTTTTTTCTTCCCATTTTAATTAAAATATTTTGTATATATTTATATTATCATGTTCCTCAGCAACAGTAGTTTCATGAGAAGTTTTTAAATATTTTGTAGCAATTGAAATAATTTAAAATGAAATCTTTTACTTTAACTTTTATTGGTTGCCTACGCCTACTCCACACTGGCCCCTAATTTATTTTATGGATTACTGGTACACAAACTCAAATAACAAACTAAACAAAAATGTTTACAAGCCACTTTCACTTAAGTTTTTTTTTCTATTATTTGCATTCAAGATACTCATTACATTACTTGGTAGAGAAATAGAATTTAAAATTAACAATAGTTTTGACTTATTCGTGACAAGGCTGACCGACAAGATATCTCGCCACTTTGTTACGGCGGTCATGTGACTTGGCCGCCGGACACATAGTGCGGGAGAAAGACACTGCCTTTATGAAAACGGTCTCATTTTTGACAAGTGTCATGATCTTCCTTCCATTTGACGTTCTGTCTTCAAACCTTACTATTTTGATTACTGTTTTTGGCACCGTTGTCTTAATTTACTACATACTTCATACACATGGGTGCCATGCTTGGTTCGTACATAAGACAATAATCAATGTTCAATTGAAGTAATGGCAGTCCTTTATTCTTTACAATAATAGGCAGTTTCCAAAATTTTCTTCATTACCATTTGCTCACAACACTACCTCCTGTTCTCAGACTAATTTCATCTCCACTGTTTAAGTACCTCAAATCTCTCTTGACAATGATCACTCAGCATACTGAACATCAAAAATTAACCCCACAATCTAATCCCATGATCTGACCTTGCATAACCCCTCCCGACCAATGACATCTCGCCCTGACAAGAACCTCTCACAATCAACAACTTTTCATAACAAACATTCATGCTCCTAAATCTAGTTCATAATAACAAGTAATAATTATAGCACTAGTGTTCACTCACTTTTTTATCCTTTCTTGACAGTTGCTAGCAAGACTAAGTACGAGGGTTGATTTGTCAGGCCTTGACCCACTTGTCTTTGGGAGCTCTCCAAACTCTCCCCAATCACTGGATTGCAAATTAATTGAAATCTCCGGCCTTGAAGGTATAGGGAAAACAGAACTTGCCCTTCATTATATTGCACGCACTTGCTTGCCGTGTCAATGGAAGGGCTTGGCCCTTGGGGGGCTTGGAGCTAAAGTTACAGTCATCGACACAGAATTCAAATTTTCTGTGTTGCGTTTAGCAATAGTTATTGAATGTCTTGTACTACGATACGTAAGTGAAAATAAATTAGACTCTACTAAACCTCAAGAAATTAAAAAAACTTCGGAAGATATTTCATTGACTAATGGTCTAGACCGTGATTCTGGCGAGTCAGATGGAAAGCTGAGCAAAGTTACGAATATTTCAAAAAATGAACTGGAAATTCCAGATTTTGATATAAAAAATAATGGAAGCAAATCTGTCATCACTCCTCATGATATGGAAAACATTGTTCATGATGCTCTGGGTAAGATTTTGGAAAAACTTGTGAATGTGTTTGCATGAGTGTGAATGGTTGTTGTGGATGCCTTTGTGTGTGCTTGCACATAATGAGCTGTGCTGTTTGTGCTTATGTGTGCATTAGTAGGGGTGCTTGCACATAATGATATGTGCTGTTTGTGCTTATGTATGCATTAGTAATTAGTAGGGGTGCTTGCACATAATGAGATGTGCTGTTTGTGCTTATGTATGCATTAGTAGGGGTGCTTGCACATAATGAGATGTACTGTTTGTGCTTATGTGTGCATTAGTAGGGGTGCTTGCACATAATGAGATGTACTGTTTGTGCTTATGTATGCATTAGTAGGGGTGCTTGCACATAATGAGATGTGCTGTTTGTGCTTATGTATGCATTAGTAGGGGTGCTTGCACATAATGAGATGTGCTGTTTGTGCTTATGTATGCATTAGTAGGGGTGCTTGCACATAATGAGATGTGCTGTTTGTGCTTATGTATGCATTAGTAGGGGTGCTTGCACATAATGAGATGTGCTGTTTGTGCTTATGTATGCATTAGTAGGGGTGCTTGCACATAATGAGATGTGCTGTTTGTGCTTATGTATGCATTAGTAGGGGTGCTTGCACATAATGAGATGTGCTGTTTGTGCTTATGTATGCATTAGTAGGGGTGCTTGCACATAATGAGATGTGCTGTTTGTGCTTATGTATGCATTAGTAGGGGTGCTTGCACATAATGAGATGTGCTGTTTGTGCTTATGTATGCATTAGTAGGGGTGCTTGCACATAATGAGATGTGCTGTTTGTGCTTATGTATGCATTAGTAGGGGTGCTTGCACATAATGAGATGTGCTGTTTGTGCTTATGTATGCATTAGTAGGGGTGCTTGCACATAATGAGATGTGCTGTTTGTGCTTATGTATGCATTAGTAGGGGTGCTTGCACATAATGAGATGTGCTGTTTGTGCTTATGTATGCATTAGTAGGGGTGCTTGCACATAATGAGATGTGCTGTTTGTGCTTATGTATGCATTAGTAGGGGTGCTTGCACATAATGAGATGTGCTGTTTGTGCTTATGTTTGCATTAGTAGGGGTGCTTGCACATAATGAGATGTACTGTTTGTGCTTCTGTGTGCATTAGTAGGGGTGCTTGCACATAATGAGATGTGCTGTTTGTGCTTATGTTTGCATTAGTAGGGGTGCTTGCACATAATGAGATGTACTGTTTGTGCTTCTGTATGCATTAGTAGGGGTGCTTGCACATAATGAGATGTACTGTTTGTGCTTCTGTATGCATTAGTAGGGGTGCTTGCACATAATGAGATGTGCTGTTTGTGCTTATGTTTGCATTAGTAGGGGTGCTTGCACATAATGAGATGTACTGTTTGTGCTTATGTTTGCATTAGTAGGGGTGCTTGCACATAATGAGATGTACTGTTTGTGCTTCTGTATGCATTAGTAGGGGTGCTTGCACATAATGAGATGTGCTGTTTGTGCTTATGTTTGCATTAGTAGGGGTGCTTGCACATAATGAGATGTGCTGTTTGTGCTTATGTATGCATTAGTAGGGGTGCTTGCACATAATGAGATGTGCTGTTTGTGCTTATGTATGCATTAGTAGGGGTTCTTGAGTTTGGTTTTTGATGTTCACAACCACACACACACACACACACACACACACACACACACACACACACACAAACGCAGATTGAGAGATGTGGATGTTAGTAGATAATAAAGAATTTAATTTTATTTTCTTGCATTAGTCACTTAGGGTCCAGTATAGAAAATGTGAAGGTGAGATTTAGCTGTGCACTTCTGTCATGAACCAGATTGTCATGTTCATCTACTAAGTTATAGGAAACTGAATCTATTTTTGTCACTGTTTGTTGACACAGAGAGAGTAGATGTCATGAAGGTTACCAGCAGCCAGCAACTGGTAGTCTCCCTTCTGTCACTGGAGCAAAGACTGTCATGTGACCCCCAGGTGGCACTGATAGTCATCGACAGCATATCAGCCTTCTACTGGATGGACCAAGCATTCGAGTCCAGCATGGCCGCCATTGTTCAGACCATTCTCAGGTGCAGGAGTGAATTTGGCGTCAGTTTCCTGTTGATAAAATCACTTCTTATCAATCCCAAGAAGCGGAAGTGGGAGATGGAAGGCGGTGACTGTAGTGAAAGCTCAAGGTCGGACAGTGTGGAATTTCTAGGTCGCCACTGGGCCAGCTTGAGCATGAGGAAAATTATCTTGTCAGAGTCGACCAGCTCCCCGGGCAGGAGGCAGTTTTTGGCAAGGTGTCCGGAGTGGTCAGCTGGGAGACATTTGTCATTTGTTGAAGACTGCTTGTGCTTTGAACGGTAGCTGGTCAGCTGGGAGACTTTTGTCATTTGTTGAAGACTGCTTGTACTTTGAACGGTAGCTGGTCAGCTGGGAGACTTTTGTCATTTGTTGAAGACTGCTTGTACTTTGAACAGTAACTGGTCAGCTGAGAGAAATTTGTCATTTGTTGAAGACTGCCTGTATTTTGAACGGTAACTGGTCAGCTGGTAGACTTTTGTCATTTGTTGAAGACTGCCTGTATTTTGAACGGTAACTGGTCAGCTGGTAGACTCTTGTCATTTGTTGAAGACTGCCTGTACATTGAACGGTAGCTGGTCAGCTGGGAGACTTGTGTCATTTGTTGAAGACTGCCTCTACTTTGAACAGTAACTGGTCAGCTGGGAGACTTGAATCATTTGTTGAAGACTGCCTGTACTTTGAACAGTAACTTCCCATCATTCTTAACAGTTTTAATTAATGTAAAATAAAATACTCATTATTATTTCATGTTTGTATATTATAATTCAAATTTATTTTAAATAATATGTTCTGTCACTGTATGTTCTTTCATTCATTGATTTTTTATCCAAGAATTGACCTCTAACCTTAAAGTGAGTTACTATCCAAGAGTTGACCTCTAACCTTACATTTTGATATTTTCTTGACGGTACGCTAATACAACTAATAACAATATAATATCCTAATGCCCACGAGACTCCATCTCCGCATTTTTCCAGTTGGTTTCGCTCCCGTGCTTGTTACTACCTTGGGGTTTGTAGCCACAGGTCAGCGGAGATGCTTGTAGCCACGGGTCAGCTGAGAGGTTTGTGGCCACATGTCAGCTGAGAGTTTTGTAGCTACAGGTCAGCTGAGAGTTTTGTAGCTACAGGTCAGCCACAAGTCATTGGAGAGGTTTGTAGTAGAGGTTTTAACTAAAGGGATATGTGGGCTATGTCAAGGTCACGTCTTGTTGTGGACCCACCCATGTGGGCTATATCAAGGTCAGTCTTGTTGTGGACACACCCATGTGGGCTATGTCAAGGTCACGTCTTGTGGACACACCCATGTGGGCTATGTCAAGGTCATGTCTTGTTGTGGACCCACCCTTGAGGGCTATGTCAAGGTCACATCTTGTTGTGGACACACCCATGTGGGCTATGTCAGTGTCACGTCTTGTTGTGGACACACCCATGTTGTGTCTGTGATGCTGTCAGGAATAAACATTTACATGAGTTTTGTATCAAGTGATCACAACGGTGGCAACATTAATATGAGTAATAACTTAATTTAAACTGGAGATGAATCCACTCTTTACCTTTCGGTAGTTTTCTTAATCCACTCTTTACCTTTTGGTAGTTTTCTTAATCCACTCTTTACGTTTTGGTTGTTTTCTTAATCCACTCTTTACCTTTTGGTAGTTTTCTTAATCCACTCTTTACCTTTTGGTGGTTTTCTTAATCCACTCTTTACCTTTGGTAGTTTTCTTCATCCACTCTTTACCTTTTGGTGGTTTTCTTCATACACCCTTTACGCTTTGGTTGCTTTCTTAATCCACTCTTTACCTTTTGGTGGTTTTCTTAATCCACTATTTACCTTTTGGTTGTTTTCTTAATCCACTATTTACCTTTTGGTTGTTTTCTTAATCCACTATTTACATTTTGGTTGTTTTCTTAATCCACTATTTACCTTTTGGTGGTTTTCTTAATCCATTATTTACCTTTTGGTAGTTTTCTTAATCCACTATTTACTTTTTGGTTGTTTTCTTAATCCACTCTTTACCTTTTGGTGGTTTTCTTAATCCACTATTTACCTTTTGGTTGTTTTCTTAATCCACTATTTACCTTTTGGTGGTTTTCTTAATCCACTATTTACCTTTTGGTTGTTTTCTTAATCCACTATTTACCTTTTGGTAGTTTTCTTAATCCACTATTTACCTTTTGGTTGTTTTCTTAATCCACTATTTACCTTTTGGTTGTTTTCTTAATCCACTATTTACCTTTTGGTTGTTTTCTTAATCCACTATTTACCTTTTGGTAGTTTTCTTAATCCACTCTTTACCTTTTGGTGGTTTTCTTAATCCACTATTTACCTTTTGGTTGTTTTCTTAATCCACTATTTACCTTTTGGTGGTTTTATTAATCCACTATTTACCTTTTGGTTGTTTTCTTAATCCACTATTTACCTTTTGGTGGTTTTCTTAATCCACTCTTTACCTTTTGGTGGTTTTCTTAATCCACTCTTTACCTTTTGGCTGTTTTCTTAATCCACTCTTTACCTTTTGTTGGTTTTCTTAATCCACTATTTACCTTTTGGTTGTTCTCTTAATCCACTATTTACCTTTTGGTTGTTTTCTTAATCCACTATTTACCTTTTGGTGGTTTTCTTAATCCACTATTTACATTTTGGTTGTTGTCTTAATCCACTATTTACCTTTTGGTTGTTTTCTTAATCCACTATTTACCTTTTGGTGGTTTTCTTAATCCACTCTTTACCTTTTGTTGGTTTTCTTAATCCACTATTTACCTTTTGGTTGGTTTTCTTAATCCACTATTTACCTTTTGGTTGTTTTCTTAATCCACTATTTACCTTTTGGTGGTTTTCTTAATCCACTATTTACCTTTTGGTTGTTTTCTTAATCCACTCTTTACCTTTTGGTGGTTTTCTTAATCCACTATTTACCTTTTGGTGGTTTTCTTAATCCACTATTTACCTTTTGGTTGTTTTCTTAATCCACTATTTACCTTTTGGTGGTTTTCTTAATCCACTATTTACCTTTTGGTTGTTTTCTTAATCCACTATTTACCTTTTGGTGGTTTTCTTAATCCACTATTTACCTTTTGGTGGTTTCCTAATCCACTATTTACCTTTTGGTTGTTTTCTTAATCCACTATTTACCTTTTGGTAGTTTTTTAAATCCACTCTTTACCTTTTGGTGGTTTTCTTAATCCACTATTTACCTTTTGGTAGTTTTCTTAATCCACTATTTACCTTTTGGTTGTTTTCTTAATCCACTATTTACCTTTTGGTTGTTTTCTTAATCCACTCTTTACCTTTTGGTGGTTTTCTTAATCCACTATTTACCTTTTGGTAGTTTTCTTAATCCACTATTTACCTTTTGGTGGTTTTCTTAATCCACTCTTTACCTTTTGGTTGTTTTCTTAATCCACTCTTTACCTTTTGGTTGTTTTCTTAATCCACTATTTACCTTTTGGTTGTTTTCTTAATCCACTATTTACCTTTTGGTTGTTTTTCTTTGTCCTCAAACATGACACAATAATATTATAAATAAAATTGTTGGTCATTTAGAAAATATCAGCCATATATAGAAACTCGGAGGCAGACAGACAGACACAGTGAGAGGAGGACAGAGATAGACAGACAGACAGACACAGTGAGAGGAGGACAGAGATAGACAGACAGACACAGTGAGAGGAGGACAGAGATAGACAGACACAGTGAGAGGAGGATAGAGATAGACAGACACAGTGAGAGGAGGACAGAGATAGACAGACAGACACAGTGAGAGGAGGACAGAGATAGACAGACAGACACAGTGAGAGGAGGACAGAGATAGACAGACAGACACAGTGAGAGGAGGACAGAGATAGACAGACATACACAGTGAGAGGAGGACAGAGATAGACAGACAGACACAGTGAGAGGAGGACAGAGATAGACAGACATACACAGTGAGAGGAGGACAGAGATAGGCAGACGCAGTGAGGGGAGGACAGAGATAGGCAGACAGACACAGTGAGAGGAGGACAGAGATAGACAGACAGACACAGTGAGAGGAGGACAGAGATAGACAGACAGACACAGTGAGAGGAGGACAGAGATAGACAGACATACACAGAGAGAGGAGGACAGAGATAGACAGACAGACACAGTGAGAGGAGGACAGAGATAGACAGACATACACAGTGAGAGGAGGACAGAGATAGACAGACACAGTGAGAGGAGGACAGAGATAGGCAGACAGACACAGTGAGAGGAGGACAGAGATAGACAGACAGACACAGTGAGAGGACAGAGATAGACAGACAGAGACAGTGAGAGGAGGACAGAGATAGGCAGACAGAGACAGTGAGAGGAGGACAGAGATAGGCAGACAGAGACAGTGAGAGGAGGACAGAGACAGACAGACAGACAGAGACAGACAGATTGTACTTTGACTAAATGCCAACGAGGGCGGACTCTCAAAATTGAGCCCTTCAAGACATCTAGTATGTCATTTCGAGAAAAAGGCCTCTCAGGGCGTTCGCCTCCCTCCAACTAAGTACGCCACCCAGAGGCGTATCTAAGGGGTGGGGGACAGGTTCCCTGGGCGCCAGACTAGTTAGGGGCCCCAAAATGTGCTTTGATATTTTATTGATGAAAATGAAATTAACGGGTTTGAGAGTTTAAAAAGAAAGTGAGGCTGTTAAAAGTGAATCTTGTCCCCGGGCGCCAAACACCCCAGCTATGCCCCTGATGCCACCGCACACACACACATACACACACTGATTTAAAGAACTGGGAAATGTCATTTCCACCCATTTTTTTTTTCGTTCAAAGTTTTTGGCATTTTGCCCATCTCCTAGATCTATTTTGCCCATCTCCTAGATCTATTTTGCCCATCTCCTAGATCTATTTTGCCCATCTCCTAGATCTATTTTGCCCATCTCCTAGATCTATTTTGCCCATCTCCTAGATCTATTTTGCCCATCTCCTAGATCTATTTTTCCCATCTCCTAGATCTATTTTGCCCATCTCCTAGATCTATTTTTCCCATCTCCTAGATCTATTTTGCCCATCTCCTAGATCTATTTTTCCCATCTCCTAGATCTATTTTGCCCATCTCCTAGATCTATTTTTCCCATCTCCTAGATCTATTTTGCCCATCTCCTAGATCTATTTTGCCCATCTCCTAGATCAGGCCTGCACAACTCAACGTGGAAGGCGGGCCGTAATACTTACTGAAAAACTTGTGCGAGCCGTAATACGTTATGAAAGCTTGTGCGGGCCAAAAGATAATAGGACAGGGGAAAAGGCTATTAAGAAAATAATAATAATAAAGAATATTTCGTTACACTGCAGGCTGCCGAGTGGGTGCTGGCGGGCTGTATGTTGTGCAGGCCTGTCCTAGATATAAATGAGCGTGACTAGATTCTTGAACCCAGGTTAGGTGTCACGTCAACATCGAGTCACGTGCCGTGACGTATCCGAGGTTAGGGGGGCAGCGCGTGCAGCTTGATCATTCAAATATTTATGTTACGAAAATCTAGAGAAGAAACAAGTGTCGATTTTTTGTTCCAAACCATGGTAAATAAAGTCACGCATCCTTTCAGACATTTCCAGCATCTCTATACAGTGGCGGAGGAGTGGGGGGGGGGGCTGTGCGCCGAGGGGCGCACTTTTTTCTTTACTTTATATGAAGTTGTTGTTTTCATGGAAGGAAGCAGAACAAGATTGGCCGTGGCCCTAGACCACTGTCTCTACGTTTAGGGGACGCTGGCCCTAGACCCCTGTCTCTACGTTTAGGGGACGCTGGTCCTAGACCACTGTCTCTACGTTTAGGGGACGCTGGCCCTAGACCACTGTCTCTACGTTTAGGGGACGCTGGCCCTAGACCACTGTCTCTACGTTTAGGGGACGCTGG